GCGCGCGCGCGATACAAGCTGAAGCGAGCACCCACTGTTTCAGTTTCAGTTTCAGTTTCAGTATCCAGTATTAGCCAATAATGCAGCAGGGGTATTGTGTATTCCAGCTACGTCAGTGCCTTCCGACTCCGAGAGGGTATTCAGTACAGCGGGTGACATTGTTACGGCACAGAGGGCTGCACGGTCAGCGGAAAACATTGCCGTGCTTCTGTTTCTCAAGAAAAACATGAGAAATTAAATCATGTCATATAATACAATATATGATGATATTAAAACCATCAAATTGTTACTATATCATGCATGGTATACACTTCCCAATACGTATTGGAAAATATTGCAATACGGTTTTGTCGTATTGCAATATATTGCAATACGGTTTTTGGTCGCAATACTCACCCCTATAAAATAGGTGCCAAGTAATAATGCAAAGACTTGCAAAACGTACATTCTGATAGTTTTCGGCTGGATTTCTTACAAGTAGCTCGCCACTCTGTTCTGTCGCACAGTAGCGCCCTTGGGAAAAACTTCATCTACCACTATCTACAAAATCTGAAACCCAACTGCACACTCATATAGACAATAATCGAAAGTGTCATTTTCATGTGGGATTGTTATCGACCAAAAGCTATTCGTGAATATATAATTATAACTATAACACTGTTAAGCTTCATTCAGCCTGCAAATATACAGAGCAAGCATTGATTTTTAACCTTCATCACACAAACCTGCTGCTGTGATTACTATACATGATAAAGGATAAATGTATGAATACATGATAAATGTGGAACTGAAGCCAGCATATATATAGTTCCTTATTAATCGTTGTCATGTTATACAGACTTGCTAATACTTTGGATATTGATATATAATCTATATCATCAGATATATGTGTTTGTGAAAATTAACATTATAAAGCATGTCTTATTTCAAAACCGGGTCTCAATAACACGCAGCCTAAGTAAAACCTTTCCTACACCTACTTCCACAGACACACTGATGCTTAAGCTGCACTAGCAGCAGGTGATGGTAGCATGAATAGAGCTACTCGTTTACCCACCTGCCGCTTCACCTGATCGATCAGACTGCATTGGCACACGTGCATTCCAGTGGAACGACTAAAATTTACCGATGCAAAAATAGAACCTTTACACATTCAAAAAGGCACACAGCGATAGCACACGATTCTGGTATCAACTAGGGAATTGCCCCCACCCCAACGGTATCCGAGCCATTCTGGTTATATAATCATGTTTCTGCAGCAAGTGTGCACACTCGGCTAACTGAGGGGTCATGTACTCACCGGGGTCACTGGGGTCAAGCACCTAGTTAACTGAAGGTGACACACTCATATACCCAGGGGGCGGGGTCATACACCGAACCAGCCAAGGGCAACATGCTGTGCTAGCTAAGACTGTCACACACCACAAACACATCTCACAGAGGGGGTCACACACCTAGCTAGCTAGGAATCATGTACACTTATCTACCTGTGGCTCATGCACCTAGCTAGCTAGGAATCATGCACCTATCTACCTATGGCTCATGCACCTAGCTAGCTAG